CTCCCCAAGGGATCGACCTAAAGCAAAGCAACCCCCGCCCCAAAAAAGTGAATTTTGGAATATTTCTGAAATCAGGGAGTGGGGGGGAGCCAAAATGGGTGAAACTGAAACTGTCAAAAGAAAGGAGTCAAAATTGAATTTTTCAACGGGTCTTGAAAGTTGACCCTAGTAATTGGAATCCAGCTGTCGATCAAACACGTGTCTGTTCCTTAATGCTGGACTCAGATGTCGTGGGGAAGGGTCTCCACCCCCTTTTATCCACTGTAAGAAAGGGGGAAGGGGTAGAATTTGGAATTTGAGATTATTTGAGATTTTAAATTTGAGAGACGATCAAGGGAGGTTTCTACCTTTGGGACAGGGTGTGTCAAAATCCAGTTTAAGGTAGTGGGGTGGGGGGCATTGATCTAGGAAAGATTTGCTGGCTGATCTGGGGGTTCAGCCAATCAAGACTGGTGGGAATGTCAAACCAAGGTTTGCAAAGGGAGTTATTTCCTTCCTACAATGGCATGGAGGAGGGTGCCAGCTTTTCAATGCCACCAAGGATTGGCCCAGTGAATATTTTCAATATTTTAAATACTTTCAATATTTTCAATGCTTTCAATATTTTCAATATTTAAGCGTCTTCCAACACTAAATTGATCCGGTATTTCTCAACCTTGGGGGCTGGCTATCAACTTGGGTGGACTTCAACTCCCAGAATTCCCCCCCACAGCCAGCATGTGGAATTCTGGGAGTTGAAGTCCACTCATCTGAAAGCTGTCACTTGGAGAAAAACTTGAAATTGACCATAGGATTCCATGAAACATTCAATGGCCTTTCCTATTTTGTGGCTTGCTGGTAGAAAAGTCGGTGGTTCGAATCCCTAGTACAGGTCACCTTCGTGAGCAGGGGGTTGGACTAGATGACCTCCAAAGTCCCTTCCAACTCTGTTACTGTTAGAGCACTCCCTGCCCTTTGGTGGTTTTTTTTTCTCCTAGCATCCACTGCTCCTAGCAATGGAGGTTCTCCTAACCTGACCCACGCCCCTCCCGTGCCCCCATCTCGGCTGCTCCTGGGACTTCTAGTGGCAGGGAGTTCCCCGGGCTCGAAGGCTTATTTCCTTTCAGACCTGGTTTTGCAGGGCAACGGTGCTTTTCTTGCAGCCGAGATTTTGTCTGCCTGCATTTGTAAGGAGGGGGGGGGAAATCCTCCTTTTAGCAATAACCATGCTGAGTAATGATTTTTTTTTTTAAATTTTCCAGACTTAGGAAGAAGGAGAGGGGGGGGGCATTTAAAAAGGTTGTTTTCTCACACACCCCGTCCCCCAAATACCTGAGTCATCTGCTTCGGGCACCGAGGTTTGATTCCTTGTCTCGATGAAGGGCAGGTCATTCTTTGTGCTGTGTCATAAGTGTGAGTCATGTCCAGATTTGTCAGAATGGAGTCACCCGTTCTGCAGACAGAGCATTAAAAGTTGGCCACGCCCTTCTGGGACCCAGTTTCCAAGTGCCTGGGAAGGGTTTTTTTTTTCCTCTCACCCTTTTTCCTGGCATGTGAAATCTGCCCTCCCCACTTTCCCCCACCCCCCAGGGATGGGTACCTGGGCCTGCCCGAGCAGGCCTACCTCGCAAGGGGATTGGGTTCCCAGCTCTTTGAAATCTGCCATTCGCTTGGCAGGAGCTAAGGAAAGCTTGGATGAATTTTTCTTTTCTTTTCTTTTTTCTTTTTTTTTAAATTCATTCTCATTTTCCTTTGATCTGTCCTTGGAAGGCTGGTTTTAAAATGAAGCCGGGAAATGGTACTATAGGGATCTCCTGCTGAGGAAAGGGGTTGGACTAGAAGACCTCTAAGGTCCCTTCCAACTCTGTTATTCTATATTTTAACAGGGGGGCTGGACTAGAAGACCTCCAGGGTTCCTTCCAACTCTATCATTCTGTATTCTGTGAGGGGGGGTTGGACTAGAAGACCTCCAAGGCCCCTTCCAACTCTATCATTCTGTATTCTGTGAGGGAGGGTTGGACTAGAAGACCTCCAAGGCCTCTTCCAACTCTGTCATTTTGTATTCTGTGAGGGGGGTTGGACTAGAAGACCTTTAAGGGCCCTTCCAACTCTATCATTCTGTATTCTGTGAGGGGGGTTGGACTAGAACACTCCAAGGCCCCTTCCAACTCTATCATTCTGTATTCTGTGAGGGGGGTTGGACTAGAAGACCTCCAAGACCCCTTCCAAATCTATCGTTCTGTATTCTGTGAGGGAGGGTTGGACTAGAAGACCTCCAAGGCCCTTCCAACTCTATCATTCTGTATTCTGTGAGGGGAGGGTTGGACTAGAAGACCTCCAAGGCCCCTTCCAACTCTATCATTCTGTATTTCTGTTGGGGGGTTGGACTAGAAGAACTCCAAGGCCTCTTCCAACTCTGTCATTCTGTATTCTGACGGGGGGGGTTGGACTAGAAGACCTTTAAGGTTCCCTTCCAACTCTATCATTCTGTATTCTGTGAGGGGGGTTGGACTAGAACACCTCCAAGGCCCCTTCCAACTCTATCATTCTGTATTCTGTGAGGGGAGGTTGGACTAGAAGACCTCCAAGGCCCCTTCCAACTCTATCATTCTGTATTCTGTGAGGGAGGGTTGGACTACAACACCTCCAAGGCCCCTTCCAACTCTATCATTCTGTATTCTGTGAGGGGGGTTGGACTAGAAGACCTCCAAGGCCCCTTCCAACTCTATCATTCTGTATTCTGTGAGGGGGGGTTGGACTAGAAGACCTGTAAGGTTCTTCCAACTCTATCATTCTGTATTCTGACAGGGGGGGTTGGACTAGAAGACCTCCAAGGCCCCTTCCAACTCTATCATTCTGTATTCTGTGAGGGAGGGGTTGGACTAGAAGACCTCCAAGGCCCCTTCCAACTCTTTCATTCTGTATTCTGTGGGGAAGAGTTGGACTAGAAGACCTCCAAGGCCCCTTCCAACTCTATCATTCTGTATTCTGTGAGGGAGGGTTGGACTAGAAGACCTCCAAGGCCCCTTCCAACTCTATCATTCTGTATTCTGTGAGGGAAGGGTTGGACTAGAAGACCTCCAAGGCCCCTTCCAACTCTATCATTCTGTATTCTGTGAGGGAGGGTTGGACTAGAAGACCTCCAAGGCCCCTTCCAACTCTTATCATTCTGTATTCTGTGAGGGAGGGTTGGACTAGAAGACCTTTAAGGTCCCTTCCAACTCTATCATTCTGTATTCTGTGAGGGAGGGTTGGACTAGAAGACTTCAAGGCCCCTTCCAACTCTATCATTCTGTATTCTGTGAGGGAGGGTTGGACTAGAAGACCTCCAAGGCCCCTTCCAACTCTATCATTCTGTATTCTGTGAGGGGGGTTGGACTAGAAGACCTCCAAGGCCCCTTCCAACTCTTATCATTCTGTATTCTGTGAGGGGGGTTGGACTATAAGACCTCCAAGGCCCTTCCAACTCTATCATTCTGTATTCTGTGAGGGAGGGTTGGACTAGAAGACCTCCAAGGCCCCTTCCAACTCTATCATTCTGTATTCTGTGAGGGAAGGGTTGGACTAGAAGACCTCCAAGGCCCCTTCCAACTCTATCATTCTGTATTCTGTGAGGGGGGTTGGACTATAAGACCTCCAAGGCCCTTCCAACTCTGTAGTCTTATCAACTCCTTTTGGGGGTTTCTTTGGTCAGTTTAAAATCCAGGGCTTTAATCCCCCGTAACACCACAAGTCTGCTACAACCGGAGAGCTTCAAGCTCTTCCTGAGGAGGGCCTGTCCACAAACGAGCAAAGGCCTAGAGAGGTAGACTTCTCCTGTCTACAGAGGATCCATTTTGCCTCAGGGAGAGCAACGTCCTCTGTGAATCAGCCATTCTGCCTTTCCACGGCTTCTGCCTCTCTTGAGAACGGACCTGCCCCGGTAGATAGAGGTTGTGGTGTTTTGCTAAGTGCTGTTGTTGACGGAGGAGTTGTGCGTGGCTCTAACCACTCCACTCCCTTGTCCTTCCAACCGGGAAGCAGCTGCAAAATGGACTTGCCCTGAGCAGAGGTGAAATTAATCCCTACCCCCTCCCGTCGCTGAAATCCTTCACAACCAAGCCGGAAAACATTCCTTTCCTATTGTGTTGCCGCACACAACGAATGCCGAGTCACGTAAACACCTGGGGCTTGCACAACCTGAGGAAGAAAAATAGGAGTACAATGGTTTTCATTTGGATTGGTGGATTAGGATGGGATAGGATAGGACAGGAAGGACAGGATGGAAATGGAAAGAAAATGGAAATGGAAATGGAAATAGAAATAGAAATAGAAATGGAATAGGAAATGGAATGGAATGGAAATGGAATGGAAATAGAAAGGAAATGGAAATGGAAATGGGAAATAGAATAGAATAGAATAGAATAGAATGGAATAGAATGGAATGGATATGGGACTGGAATAGAATGGAATGGAATAGAAATAGAATAGAAATAGAATAGAAGAATAGAATAGGAATAGAATAGAATAGAATAGAATAGAATAGAAGAATATATAGAAATGAATATATAGAATAGAAAAATTGAATGGAATAGAAAAGAATAGAATAGAATAGAATAGAATAGAATAGAATAGAATAATATATAGAATGGATATATAGAATGGATATATAGAATAGAAAATTGAATGGAATAGAAATAGAAATAGAAATAGAATAGAATAGAATAGAATGGAATGGAATGGAATAGAATAGAAATTCTGGAATAAAGTAGAATTGGAATCCCTCTGGGAGTTGAAGTCCGCCAGGCTTAAAGCATGCTGGCTGGGGGATTCTGGGAACAAAGTCCCCCAACTTAAAGCATGCTGGCTGGGGGATTCTGGAGTTGAAGTCCTCCAGATTTAAAGTTGCCAAGGTTGGTTGGTTTGTGAGGTTGGGGCAGGTCGAGGAATAAGATCACATTTTGAAGAGGGGGAACCCACAATCCGGGATTGCGTGAAGCAAATGGCGGCATGTCAGAAAGTCCCCACCCGTATCAAAGCAGGTCAAGGAGAAATGGCCTTTTACGCCACTCGGAAGGCCTCGCCCAGCGAAATGACGCCAGCAACCCCACGCAAACAGCCGGGGCGTGACCCACAAGTGTGCCAAGAGCCTCCAGGGCAAGGCAGAGGCTACCGGGAACTAGGTCACCGAGTGTGTGGAAAGGGCATTCTGGAACACGGGAACCTTTTGCCTCCAAAGCGCCCGATGGCTGGGGGAGCCCTCTGAACGTGCGCAGAGGGCTACCCCACCTCCCCCCGTCGCCGGGGTATCCCTGGGAGGGGAAGGTGAACTCAAGGGGGAGAGGCTGATAAGATTATTTTAAAAGGATCCCGTGTTCCTTCGGGCCTCCCAGCCCTTCTTGCAAAAGTGAATTTCTCTCAGTTGAACAACAGGGGAAATATTTATCCCTCAGCCATAAGGCAGCAGTATAATTTTGGTCCTTTCCTTCCTTCCTTCCTTCCTTCCTTCCTTCCTTCCTTCCTTCCTTCCTTCCTTCCCTCCCTCCTCCTTCTTCCTCCTCCTTGCTACTCCTTCCCCTTCTTCTTCTCTCCCTCCCTCTCTTCTTTTTTCCTCTTCCTTCCTCTTCCTTCCTCTTCCTTCCTCTCTCCCTTCCTTCTCCTCCTCCTTTTCCTTCCTTCCTCCTCCTCTTCCCCTTCCTCCTCTTTTCTACTGCTTCCCTTTCCTCTTTCTTTTCTTCCTCCCTCCCTTCCCTCCTCCCTCCTTCCCGCCCTCCCTCCCTTGTTCTCCTTTTCCTTCCTTCCTCCTCCTCCTCCTCTTCCTCCTCCTCCTCTTTTCTGCTCCTTCCCTTTCCTCTTCCTCTCTTTTCTCTTCTCCCTCCCTCCCTCCCTTCCTTCCCTCCCTTTTTTCCTCTTCCTCCCTCCCTCCCTGCTTCCCGCCCCCTCTCCCTTCTTTTTTCCTCTTCCTCCCTCCCTCTTTTCCTTCTTCTTTCTCCTTTTCCTTCCTTCCGCCTCTTCTTCCCCTTCCTCTTTTCTACTCCTTCCCTTTCCTCCTCTCCTTCCTTCCTCTCTCCCTCCCTCTTTTTTCCTCTTCCTCCCTCCCTCCTTCCCGCCCTCCCTCTCTTCTTTTTCCCTTCCTCCCTCCCTCCCTCCTTCCTCCTTTTCCTTCCTTCCACCTCCTCTTCCCCTTCCTCCTTTCTACTCCTTCCTTTTCCTCTTCCTGTCCCTCCCTTCTTTTTTCCTCTTCCTCCCTCCCTCCCTCCCTTCTTTCTTTCCTTCCTTCCTTCTCTTCCTCGCAGAAATTCCAGCCGGATCTCGCAGCCGGGAGCAGCGCCTCAACCGCCCCTTTCGTGCCCAATCTCAACACCATCACCACCAGCCACAATCTGCAGTGGATGGTGCAGCCTTCACTCATGGGCGCTTCTTCGGGACTCCCTCCTTTTCCCAGGCCCTATCGCTGCCCGCACTACGCAGCTGGCATCCGTCCTGGCGTCATTCGCACCACGGGCCCTGGCCTAGTACCCCGGAGGCGTCACTCAGAACACGTGAGTATCCAGAGGAAAAAAAGAAAGAAAAATGAATGTTTTATTTGTGTACACATATTTTTTTTTATATCATTCTTTTTATCGATAAAAATATTGTTATTTTTTTAAATAAATAACTTGTGACCTCATGGCAGAGACCTCACCCTTTAGAGTGGCCAGATTTGGGGAAACTCCCCCCCCCTCCTTACAGCCCCTTTCCTGGCACTTCGATTTGCACACTTGTGCCAAATCATTTTTAAAAAGGAAAAAAAGCCAGTCTGGAGAAAAAAAAAGAGAAAAAAAAAAAAAACCAGGACAAATTCTTCTGGATTTTTCCTGGTTGTTTTGCGCCTCCTGCTGGCCCTTAGGTGACATAACCATTCAACGACCCCCAAATCAATGGGGTGAACCAGGGATGAAATCCAGCAGGTTCTGGAGAACCGGTAGCGGGAATTTTGAGCAGTTCGGAGAACCGGCAAATGCCACCTCTGGCTGGCCCCAGGGTGGGGTGGGAATGGAGATTTTGCAATATCCTTCCCCCAGGAGTGGGGTGGGAATTGGGATTTTGCAGTATCCTTTCCCCAGGAGTGGGGAGGGAATGGAGATTTTGCAGTATCCTTCCCCTGCCACGCCCACCAAGCCACACCCACAGAACCAGTAGCAAAAAAAATTAGATTTCACCACTGGGGTGAACCCACCATAACGGGAATAACAAGGTTTGGAAGGGTCCTTGGAGGTCATCTAGTCCAACCCCCTCCTCAGGCAGGAAGCCCTATACCATTTCAGACTAATGGCTGTCCAATCTATGGATCTATTATGCTTGCATCACTCTCATTTGGGCTCTATATTTGATGCGGCTCTCCCTTAAATTCAGGCTGTGCAGGCTGGGGCGTGGGGACGATGGGAGTTGTAGTCCAATCCTGAAAATTGGGGGAAATTATTAAAAATAAAAATTGCATTTATGGCCCGCTTTCTTATATATACCATCATCTTGGTTTGCGGTCTGGAAATTCAGTCTAGGATCAACCAGAGTTGGATTAAGAACGGTTTTGAAAAAATTGGGGTCTACCCCCCCCCAGAACAAGTACTCCTCAACTTACAACCGCACACACTTGGGATCAGATTTTGCGTTGCTAAGCAAGGCAGTTGTTAAGCGAGTCGCGCCCGATTTTATGACCATTTTTCGGCCACGGTTGTTAAGCAAATCACTCCCGCTGTTAAGTGAGCCGCTTGGAAAGGAGGTCGCAAAAGGGGATCACGTGACCCCGGGATGCTACGACCGTCATAAATATGAACCAGTGGCCACGTGACTGAATTTCGATCACATAACCGTAGGGTATACTGCAGCAGTCAAAAAGTGAGAGGACCGGGCATAAATCACTTTTTCAGTGCCGTTCTAACATCGAACGGTTACTAAATGAATGTAAGTCGTAAGTTCAGGACTACCTGTATCTTGGTTTCCTGGAGGTTTGTGTGTGTGTTGCATGCAGGGTTTTGTGTGGTGCAGTGCTATTTGCGTTGTGTAGTTGTGAACTCTGGACTCTCTTTTGCAGCTCACCCCTGAAGAGGAAGAGCGACGGCGTCTACGGCGGGAACGGAACAAATTGGCGGCCGCCAAATGCCGCAACCGGCGGAAAGAGCTGACCGACACGTTGCAAGCGGTGCGTTGAAAGACAATATTTCAACCACATTCACACAGCAGTCTGCAACAGGCCGGGTGGCGGGGGGGTCAGACTGGATGACCTCTGAAGTTCCCTTCCAGGCCTTGCAGCCTGCGCTTACAAAGGATGGACAGGGGTTGTTCAAAGGAAGGGGTTTTGTTTTCATTTGGGGGATTTGGGAAGGGGGGGGGTTGGGCGAATCAGTTCCTGGGAGGCGGGGCAGGTGCAGGAGGGGGGGCTGATATAATTCTGGTTTGCAGAACCAGCTTGCGAAATGGGTTCATTTGGTAACCAGGTTTATCAGGACAGGCAAAAATGAGCAGTAGTAGTATTCTATTCTATTCATTTTACTATTCTATTCTATTCTATTCTATTCTATTCTATTCTATTCTATTCTATATCCTAATCCTATTCTATTTTATTCTATTCATTTTACTATTTTATTCATTTTACTAATCTAGTCTATTCTATTTTATTCTATTCTATTCATTTTACTATTCTAGTCTATTCTATAGCCTAATCCTATTTTATTCTATTCATTTTACTATTTTATTCATTTTACTATTCTATTCTATTCTAATCCTATTCTATTTTATTCTATTTATTTTATTATTCTATTCATTTTACTATTCTATTCTATCCTATCCTATCCTATCTCCTAATCCTATTCTATTTTATTCATTTTTCTATTTTATTCATTTTACTATTCTATTCTATCCTATCCTGTATCCTAATCCTATTCTATTCTATTCATTTTACTATTCTATCCTATCCTATCCTATCTTATATCCTATTCTATTTTATTCTATTCATTTTACTATTCTAGTCTAATTTTATTCTATTTATTTTATTATTCTATTCATTTTACTATTCTATTCTATCCTATCCTATCCTATCTCCTAATCCTATTCTATTTTATTCATTTTTCTATTTTATTCATTTTACTATTCTATCCTATCCTATCCTGTATCCTAATCCTATTCTATTCTATTCATTTTACTATTCTATTCTATCCTATCCTATTTTATATCCTATTTATTTTATTCTATTCATTTTACTATTTTATTCATTTTACTATTCTATTCTATCATATATTCTAATCCTATTCTATTTTATTCTATTAATTTTACTATTTTATTCATTTTACTATTCTATTCTATTCTATTCTATTCTATTCTAATTTTATTCTATTCATTTTACTATTCTATTCTATCCTATATCCTAATCCTATTCTATTCATTTTACTATTTTATTCATTTTACTATTCTATTCTATTCTATATCCTAATCCTATCCTATTCATTTTACTATTGTATTGTGTGTATTCTTATTCATCGTTAACTTCGAACGGTTACTCCATGCACTGTTGTACGTCCAAGAGTTACACGTACATCCCGATCCAACGATTATCCGCTCGATTTTTTTTTTTTAAAAAAAATCTCTTAGCAAGTTAGTCTCCCCCCCCCCCCCCCCCAAAAAAAAAAAAAGTCAGAAGAATTGAATCTCCTTCCCGGATTCCAATCTAATTTCTCTTTCTCCCCCTCTTCTCTTCCTTTTTTTTTTTTTTAATTCCTCCCCATCCCCAGGAGACGGACCAGTTGGAAGCCGAGCAGTCGGGTCTCCGGAAGGAAATTGCCGAATTGCAAAAACAGAAGGACCGTTTGGAATTAGTTCTGGAAGCCCACCGTCCCGTCTGCAAAATCCTGGAAGAATCATCCGGAGATGAGGATGGAGGCTACCGCCGGCCAGCTGCCCCCTCCCAACCGCCGGATAAAGAGGAGACTCCTCCGGGGCCCCAGCGTGGCTCTCGCCGGACGGCCCCGGTGCCCCCTAGCATCACCCTGCCTCCCAGCGGCCTGCTGGAGCCCGAATCCCTCCATACTCCTACTCTCATGTCAACCCCGTCTTTCACCCCCTTCACTCCTAGCCTGGTCTTCACCTACCCAGCGCCGGGGGACCCCGACGGGCCCTCGGGGTCCGGTTTTCCCTCGGAGCCCTGCTCCTCCGCCCACCGAAGAAGCAGCAGTGGGGACCACTCCTCGGATTCCCTCAATTCCCCAACTTTGCTGGCACTTTGAGGAAACGACTTCGGTTGGCCTATCTCGAATCTTGTCCCTGTTTTTTTGGGGGTGGTGGTGGTGTCAGAGGATTAACCCTTCCTTCCTGGCACCTTTGGCTATAACCCGATTCCCTTTGGCCTCGCTTTTGTGACCAGCCATAGTTACAGGACTCCCGCTTTCCCCCATCCTGATGCAGGCGTCAAGTTTCTAGTCCTTCAAGAGCAGCCAGGAGATTCTTTTCTGTGATCTGGAGAACCCGAATTCCAAGCAGGGTTATGATCTTTCGCGAAACACTAAAATATCTCTCACGCACGCCTCTTGTCCTTTGCCCTCGTGTTTTATAAGGGCCAAGTGGCTAGTCCTCAAGACTGACTTAACAAGTCTTTTTTTTTTTTCCTTTTCTTTTTCTTTTTTTTGACATCCTCCTTTCTGGAAAACAAGCACGTTCAAGAAACAAAAAAAAAAAGGCACTGTTTTAAAGTCATGTATCGCTTTTTATCTGCCGGATTTTTGAAACCGAGACGAGAAATTTAAGACAAATATAGATTTATTTTTCTACGATGACCTACAGCCGCCGGGATGACGTGGGACATATATTGTCCAGAACTGAAGCTGGTTTGGATGGATATACTATATATTATTATAAATATACGAGTTTTCCTTTTTTTTTTTTTTCCCCTGATGCCTCATGAAAGTTACATTACAAGGGATGTTTTTGGACAAAGTTGTGCTGTTTTTGTGCCGTTTTTAGACGCTGCTGGTCGTTGGTCGCTTGTGCAAAAAAAGAGGAATTGATACAAAAATACATATTGTCATTTTTTGTGTCTTCAAACCTCATAGGAATTAATTTGAGTTTAGTGGGACATTTAAATATAAATAAAGAACGGCAAGCACAGAAAAGCTGTACCATGTGAGATCGGCAAGGGGTAGATTTATCTATTTGTATTCTGTAAACTTTTGTATTTTTCTTTTTTTTTAAACATGTTGAATAATAAGCTTAATAAGAAACCTGCAGGACTTCAGTGTTGGAAATATGTTGTTTTAGATGGGTTGGGTATTTTTCCCCCCCCTTCTTTTGGCTTACTTTTTCTTGAAAATAAACCAAATATTGCTGCTAGACCTCATGAACTCTGTTGGTTTGGCCAGGAATACGATCTTCAGCGTAGGACAATGGTTGTTGACGAAGCTTGGAAAATGAGCGGAAAGACGTAAAGAATTGCGTCTAATAATGGTAGTTTTCAACTTACGACCGCAATCTCCATGGCTAAGCAAGGCAGCAGTTAAGTAAATCACGGCCGATTTTAAGATCTGGTTGCTAAGTGAATTGCTGCCGTTGCTAAATGAATCATGCGGTCGTTGAGCAAATCCAGCTTCCCTGTTGATTTCGCCGGTGAGAAACCAGCTGGAAAATGAATTAAACTATTATTTGGACGATTCGACACACGAGGAATTGGACGACACTCCTATGACTCTGGAAACGCTGCAGCCGTCATAAATACACGCCAATTGCGCCAAGCTCCTGAATTCAGATCACGCGACTACGGGGACCTTGCCACGGTCATTAAATGCGAGAACCAGTCCACCGGTCCCTTTTTTTCCAGTGCCGTCGTAGCTTCAAAGATTTGCTGAACGGGATGGCTGCCAACCGAGGACTACCTGATTAACCACAAAGTCCAATTTTGCCTCTGCCGATTTCGCCTAAAACCTCATGAGGACTAGCTTCCCCTCAGAGCCGACTGCCATAGATTAGCAACACTTTTAATGCCAAACCAGGCTAAGCAACTTTGGGTACTTCCGTAACCCGTTCCAGCCACACTTCCCAAAGCTGTAAAAGGAGATTTCAAACTTACCTTGGACCGGAGAAGCAAAAAAAAATAAAAATAAAGTATATCTTTTTCCAAGGAAAATCACAGCCGGGAACCAACGCCGTAATAATCCCAACTGAGTTGAAAACTTTTGTTTACAGCCGAGGTTAAGTTCCAGCGTTGCCGAAAAATACGTTTCCCATCTCTTTCACGCCTTTTTTTTTTCCTGTGTGTGTTGGCAGGCCTCCTCCTCCTTTTTTTTAAAAAAAAAAAAATCTGTGCAAGCAACTTTGGGAGAAAATGTTTATTTGGAAAACTGGGACGAATTAAAAACAAACACTATTGCAGCAGGAGAGTTTGTGTGTTTTGTGTTTGTGTGTGAGCGTTTTTTAGCCCAGGGTGATTTCAGCGAGAGGGTGGATTTCTTGGGGGGGGCAGCCAAGGAAACAAAAGTAAATTGATGGATAAAAGCCAAACATTCCCCGATTTTGGCCCTATACACACAACCAGTTTCCCCCCCTGAGTAGGTAGAAAATGTGAGTTATTCATATTTGGGGCGAGGATCCAACCCGTTGCCAATAATTTTATCGTTCGTGTGTTGTTTTACAAAGCCAATAAAGGATGATTTTGATTAACAGGTTGTGTGAATGCAGACTTTCACAGGTCAAGGGAAAAAAAACCCCCCACAAAAAACAACTTTTTTGCTGCATTGAATCTGCCTCCCTTCCTTTGTCCAAGTCAGATTAACGGTTTTCATTTTTGATTTAGCAACGTCAAATAGTCTCCAAAGGCAGACCGAGGGATCCTCTCCATCCGGTCACGTTGACGGTAAAAGGTTTCCTTTATCAGAAACCAGGATCCGGCCACCTGCTTCCTGGCTCGGAGACCCTTTGTCTCCAATCCAAGGCTGGGCAGGAAGTGTCAGAAAAGGCCGGTTTGTGACCCCCATTCGGTTGTGATTTTTGCAAACAGCCGTGGTTCCTGCTCTTGCAATCCTCCAGAGAAACCCCCCCCCCATATGCTAAACAACACATCTTAAGAGCTGGACCAAAAACGGATTTTGAACAAACCAGGATTGTTGGCCTAACTTGGGGTGATGTGTTGTTTGTGTGAGGTTCTTCAGGTTGCTGGCTGCTTCCCACCCGCTCGTAAACCCTGTTGTGTTCACTAAATAGGTGGTGCCCAAACCGAACCCAATTTTGATTCGTTCAGGCTAAATAAAAGGGACCTAAGAGGTCATCTAGCTCAACCCCCCTGCCCATTCGCAAGGATCTTCCGTTCCAGTGGCAGCCAGCAATTCTCCCATGTTCACTGGGGGAAAGAGACCCTGGTCCCACCAGGAGTTCGGGCCCCTTGCCACCTGAAATCAACTTCCCTTACAATTTCGTACTCTCAAACAGCACATCTGTATACCTTGGCAGCTTTGAAGATGGGTGGACTTCAGCTCCCAGAATTCCCCAGCCAGCTGATGATGAGTGACCTTGTTTTTCCTTTATCCAACAGAAGAAAAAGTCCTGGGAAAAAAAAATCCCATTCGGTTTGGAAATCCCCTTCCCATGAGGTCCAACTTCCATCCGCTTCTGCTGGCTAAGGGAATTCTGGAAGTTTGAAGTCAAGTCTTAAAACTTAAAAGAAGAACATAGTCCGAAGAAGTAGTGCAAGATCAGAAGATTGGGGGGGGGGGGAACCTGGCCCATAGAATTGCCAGTTGGACACGACTGAACGGATAACGCATCTTCTTCCTCCTCGTCGTAAATCTGCCAAGGTTGGACACGTGTGGTACACCCCTGCTTAAGCAGGGGGTTGGATTAAATGACCTCCAAGGTCCCTTCCAACCTTCTCCTTCTCTTCTTCCTGCTGTACAGAATAGAATACAGAATAACAGAGTGGGAAGGGACCTTTGGAGGTCTTCTAGTCCAACCCCCTGCTTAGGCAGGAAGCCCTACACCACTTCAGACAAATGGTTATCCAACCTCTTCTTTAAAAACTTCCAGTGTTGGAGCATTCACAACTTCTGGAGGCAAGTTGTTCCACTGATTAATTGTTCTCACCGTCAGGAAATTTCTCCTTAGTTCTAAGTTGCTTCTCTCCTTGGTTAGTTTCCACCCGTTGCTTCTTGTCCTGCCCTCAGGGGCTTTGGAGAATAGCTTGACTCCCTCTTCTCTGTGACAGCCCCTCAAATATTGGAAGATGCTATCATGTCTCCCTTCGTCCTTCTTTTCATCAAACTAGACACACCCAGTTCCTGCAACCGTTCTTTATATGTTTTATTCTCCCGTCCCCTAATCCTCTTGGTTGCTCTTCTCTGCACTCTTTCTGGAGTCTCAACATCTTTTTTATAGTGTGGTGACCAAAAGTGGATGCAAGTACGGTCTTCCCAAGGCATTATAAAGAGGTATTAAACACTTCTCGTCATCCTGATTCTATCCCTCGGTTGATGCCGCCTAGGATTGTGTTGGCTTTTTTGGCAGCTCCTGCACACGGCTGGCTCATACCGAGGACTCCAAAACCCATCTCAAAGTTACTGCTAGTGAGCCAGGTACCACCTCCTATACCAGTGATGGCGAATCTTTTTGGGACCGAGTGCCCATGCACATGCCCACAGTAGCCGGCACATGCCTGTTTTTCGGCCCAAAAAACGGCCCCAAAAATGGCCAATGAGAAAAAACAGTGTGAAAATGGCCTGAAAAACATGTGGACAGGCCAAAAAAAGCCCCCAAAAATGGCCTGAAAATGCAAAAAAAAAATGGCCTGAAAAACATGGAAAACAGGCCAAAAACCAGCCAACCAAAAAAAAGGCCTGAAAATGCACAAAAAAATGGCCTGAAAATGAAAAATGGCGGAAAACAACCTGAAAAATGGCCTGGGAAAACGGCCCCAAAAAACAGCCCAAAACAGCTCAAAAATGGCTCTTTGGGCAAATGGCCAAAACATGGCCTGAAAATGGCCCACAAATGGCCTGAAAAACAGCGTGAAAACAGCCCAAAAAATGGCCTGGAAACGCACAAAAAAATGGCCTCAAATGAAAAATGGCGGGAAAACAACCTGAAAAATGGCCTGGGAAAACGGCCCCAAAAAACAGCCCCAAAATGGCTGTTTGGGCAAATGGCCAAAACATGGCCTGAAAATGGCCCACAAATGGCCTGCAAGTGGCCTGAAAAACGGCATGAAAACAGCCAAAAAAATGGCGTGAAAACGGCCCAAAAAACAGCAAAACCGGCCCAAAAATGGCCTGAAAACATCCCAAAAATGACCTGCATTTTTGGGATGTTTTCCCAAAAATGTTGTTTTTTTTGGGCAACGGCCAAAAAAACAGCCAAAAACGGCCCAAAAAAACAATGTGAAAACATCCCGGAAAACATTCCAAAAAAAACAGCCAAAAACATCCCAAAAAACAGCCAAAAACAGCCCCAAAAAGGCCTGAAAACGGCCCCAAAACAGCCTGAAAATGGCTCGGAAAATTATCTTTTTTTTGGCTCTTTTTGGCCGTTTTCCGGGCAGTTTTCAGACCATTTTCTGGCACCCAGAAAACCAGCTGGCGACGGCGTGTGTGCCCACAAGATCTCTGCGTGCCACCTCTGGCACGCATGCCATAAGTTCGCCATCACGGTCCTATGCCATACCTGTGTATTATGGTTTTTCTCGTCTAAACACCTCATCAAGAACGATTCCCCCATTATCTCCGTCCAGGGGAAATAACGCAAATCCACCCACACAGAAATTCTCCCTTCCAAAGTTGTCGTTTTTAACAGATTTATTAACATTCTTGCTTTCAAGAGGAAAGAACCCCCAAAACCTTTGTTTTTTTTCCCAAAAGATTAAGAGGCCCCTTTTCCCCTTTGTCCTGCTCGGGATTCCAGGCGTTATCAATTTAACCAGATGTTATTTCCTCTTTAAAAAAAAAAAAAAACACAAAAAAATTCTTGCCACCCAGCTTCGTTCAGGGCTTGGGGGGAAAAAATAATTGGCGTTACAACAAGAGAGTAATCAGGATTTTTGGGAAAGGGCCGTTCTTTGGCTGGCAACCAGTCCTATGATTTAATTTCGGTTTAAAAAAGAGAAAAAAGCCAGGCCTCTTTCAAAGACACAAGCGCTCTCCAATTACAGGTAGTCCTCGACTTGCAACGGTTGTGTTTAGTGACCGTTCGAAGTTACAATGGCACTGAAAAAAGTGACTGACAACCGTTGTTTTCACACTTATGACCATTGCTGCATTCCCCCGTGGTCACGGGGTCAAAATTCCGACGCTTGGCAATTCGACTCATATTTATGACGGGGGTCAGGGTCTCGTGACCCTGCAAAGTCACGAGGGAAGCCAGATTCGCTTTTAACGACCGTGGGACTGACTTAATCACCGCAGAGATTCATTTAACAAGCGTGGCAACAAAAGGTCGTAAAATGGGATTAAAACACCCTTAACACGTCTCTCATTTAGCAACAGAAATGCCGGGCTCAAATGTAGTTGTAAGTCGAGGAATACCTGTCGCTGGCACTTTCCCTGTTTTTCACCCCCAAGCACAATCCTCCAGCCCTTCCCTTCATCCTCTCACCCAGCATCTGCATCCAGAATAATAAACCCCACCCAAAATCTGCACTAAAAAAAGTTCCATTTTGGCACACGCGACACAACCAAGTGGCAAGGAGTTCCTCCGACCACCTTCCTTTAAAGCTCCACCTTTGGGGAATCCAAAGCTGGATTTTTATTTTTTATTTTGAAATATTGCTCATCGGAAAGAGAAGAAAAAAAAATGGGGACCCTCCCCTGCATATATATATATATATTCTATCGAAATTCAAAGCCCCCCCCCCCCCTTAAGTTTCCCGGGTAGAAGGGAAACAAGATTTAAAACACTAGCAGAACTTCGAAAAGTGCAGCGATCCATTTCGCGGCCTGCAAAAACTCGGTTTAAGAGCAAAAAGCCAACATTGCGCGCCCAAATTCTTAAAACTGGGGGTGTATCTTTGACTCCAAAAAAGGCACCCATAAATTCCCCATTTTCCCCACCCCCGTTTGAAGTTCAAATCTTGGCATTGTTACGAAGAAACTGGCTCAAAGCTTTACGCCAGGGAATAAATTTTGAAATAGTTTTGGCAAATTTTTGTACGGGAACCCAGTGGATGGATAAGTGAAGCCTATCCTTCCACACAGAACCATGCACCCTAAATTTTGCACCTCCTGCCCTCCAGCTGTGTTCAAATCCTGCCATGCAGTTGCTTGTCATTCAAGACGGCTGCAGTTCTTTTTATCATATTTTGCACCCAAGGGTTTAACTTTTCCGTAGCTTAACCTGTCAGGTTGTTTTATATAGTATGTAACCCATCGTAATCCCCCAAAAATATTCCGGACGAAGGTTTTTATGCAGTCGCCTTTAAAAGTCCTTTCTGAAGTCCTCCGTGGATCTCTTTGCGTGATTCTCCCCCGGGGATCCATTCTTGCAGGAATTAAAACGGGGAGTCAAAAACAGTGGGGAGAATATCCCAAGGAATCGGAAACCC